GCCATGTATACTCGCGCTCTGATTGGTCGGGGATTTTTGTTAATAACTCAATAACCACGCCTCGGACAACTTTTTCGCAAAGGAAAAAGTTGTTTTAAATCACCTCAGGAACCTCCCATTAAAATATGTACCACTAGTCCTGGGACACCCTGTATAAACATTCTCCTAAGAAATACTGATAATTATTAACAATACGCTTGCAAACGTCTTCATTACGTATTTTCTAGCGTTGAAATGATTCTTTCGTTCTATTCTAAGTACATGTTAAACGTTGAACTGGATAGGGCAGATCTCTATTCAGTTGGTTCTTGTAAACGCTAAACGTTGAACCGGACAGGGCAGATCTCTGTTCATTGGTTTTGGTAAATGCTAACGTTGAACTGAACAGGGCAGGTCTCTGTTCGTTGGTTCTGGTAAATGCTAAACGTTGAACTGAACGTGTCAGATTCCTGCAAAATTTAGCTTTGGCAGCACCATCGAATTGGGGACACCGAAACCTGGGCCGTGAGCACTCTCAGTTCCTCTCTGGTACTACGTTATTTTTCAGATAGTTTAGGGATACGTGCAGATATCTCTGGTTAACTGAGTATGTATGGCATAACGGAATAACGGATATACATATATGGTAAATGCATATACACAGATTTGTTTTCTGTATGTCATTAATTCCTTTTGTTACTAATAATGAAGCACAAAATCCTATACGTATGTTCAGTCAAGTATTCGCTGCCTCATAAGAGATTTGAACGCAATACTGGAATTACACATATAATACATCTATGTACGCATTTTTTCGCACTTCATATCGAGTATTGACACCAGGTCTCAGAATATTATACATCAAATTACGATACTAACATATAATACACATAATTGGCTACAGTTCTCATTCCTGAGTAACTACGTGTTTTACGCCAAAACTTTAATTATCCGTACCTACAGTCCCGAAAATACATCGTCTCCAGCTTACGTAAGCTTACATTGACTATCATTTACTCATGGTAAATAGCGAATTACCATACACCATTATTGTTAACGATTATTATCGTCGGCGTTTGACATGCGCCAATTCTTAGATTATATCCAATCCGGATCCGATGTTAATTAATTGATTCACGATCAGGGAAAACGTACACGCGCCTTCAACCATTGTCCTTGCTTTCGGTAAGTTCTTCGTCTAGTTTTTCATGAATGGAATCGATGTGATTTACGTCCACTTCGATCACGAAGATAGACGCCGGTGGCGTTTCTTCGACATGATCCACTTCCGCCGGAAGTAACGGCATCAAAGGCTTGTAAATCTGTAGTTCCATCGAGGTGACACGTGACGAGGATCTCGCAATTGTCACATCGAGCTTATTCTCGTAATCTCTGTCGTTCTCGTTTCGTTGAAGCTCGCTACTATTCCGACTCACGTTGTCCATATCCTGTTTGTCGCTTTGAGAGGAACTCGATGCGTTTCCGACTTCCTCCTTCTTCTCGCGAATCGAAACGTTTCGCGATACAGAATAAGGTCCCTTCGACCTGACGTCGGTTACCTGTAATTAAAATTCCGATCGATGAGATAAGATACACTGTCGTCGTTTATAGGGGAAATATCGCAATAAACTGGCAGTTATTGGAGCTTTCGAGTATAATTGATTGCAGCTGTTCAATGTCGATAACGTTCCGCGAGTTTTTCCAAAAAATGATAAGCTTATATATTTTTAAAATCTACTGAACGAGATCAATAAAACTGATAACTTTCCCAAATAACTCTGATATAATCCTTGAAATGCAATATCGTTCACGAACTCGATTACATAAAAGATTCAAGAGACTTTGAAACTCACCTGACGCAACAAGTTCAGTCTTGGTACCCTTGCGACTGCCGGGCCACCGACTTGCCTTTGAAACTGTCTCTGAGAACCGACCAAGGAGCCACGATCCTGGAGCACACTGATCACGCTGGACTTCACGTCGCTATGAGGAAAGAGCAACCTCCACATGAAATTTTTTAGGGCCGCTCGGAAGTCCTTCAGATGATAGGCGTACAACAATGGATTGCCAGCCGAATTCAAATGCGATAGGATAATGCAGAAGTTCATCAGGACGTCGTTAACCTTACACCTCGGACAGAAAGCCATCACGCAATTGATCGTGTACAGTGGAAACCAGCAGATGATGAAGAAAATCACGATGCGCGACAGATTCTGCGTTGCCTTCACTTCCCGTTTCCTGGCGGCTCCGAGTAATCTCAACATGGTGCCCGTCGTCTGGTTTCCCGTACGACGACCCGGGTTCATCGTTACAATTTGCTGCAGCTGTGGAAACATTGCGAAATTCGATGTAGCAACGAATAATATCGAATTTATTCAACAACCAAAAATCATCTTTTTTACGGAAGACTCGATGCGTGAATCAAGACATTTAGTTAATTAAAGGAGGTTTTCGAGGGTCAGCAAACAGGACACAATTTTCGTTATTTCATTCTCGGCAAGGTGTTTGCATATCGCGCGTAAAAATACGTGTACGATCGCAGAGAAACACGTGGGTCAGTACTACGTACATGCATATCTATGTATTTAGAGTAAGTGTCTGACCTGCTTTACGACCACTCGGTATATGTGAGTGTAGAAGGCTGCAATTAATAGCGCAGGAAAGATAATCGTGGCGAAGTAGAGGAACACCAAGTAATCGTAATCCATCACCTCGGTAAAGATGCATTTCTCGTTAGATTTCTTTCCGGCGTTCCACCCTAGAAGCGGCAGGAAACCAACCAGCGTGCCGGCAATCCAACACACGCATATTATACCTAACAGAATAAAATCTCTCATTTTTAAATCATCCACTACCATTGCTTAAATTGATGTATACATGGGATGACACACTGTATAACGTAACTAGAGATAAATGAAAAATCTCGTCTATCGTTGAATATGAATAAAATAATTGTACGAATACATAATGTTTCCAATTTGTAATTCCAAGTAAAAAGTATTACGATTTGTAGTGGTTCCGGAGAAATGGAAAGTCGGTCAAAGAATAGAAAATGATAGAGGAGTACGCGAACGCTATCGATTAGAGTGCACGGCAATAAACGCACCTTTTTCAACCGTTCAAGAGATGGTATCAGTCGGTTGGGTCGTAATTAAAATCACTCGTTCGCCATAAACAGGCGAAACGCTTAAATTAATCGCGGTAGCTTAGCTTGTCCGCACAACGAGGAGCATCTATCCATGTCACTATTTTTATTCTTTAAACATTGCCAATTTTCGAATAGAATTTCGTGCCATGGTGAAAATTTGCACACGCAATATTTAATTTCAACATTCTTTTCCTCGTGGGACAGACGGTACAATAACGCTTATTCCAATTAACGTCATCGTTAATCACTTAATTTTAATACTCTTTTATTCTGCCTGACCTTCTTCTAAGAAATTTTTAATATTCCATTGAGTTTAATTATGAATTGCAGTAAAAGTTTATCCAATTTGTGTTATCTTGGCTCTGTTTTCAAAGATTACGCAAGTTAAAAGTCGATAGGATTTTGGTTTATTTCATCGAAGTCGAAACAGAGAAAAGATAGTCCCTCGGGAAATCAAACCTGATGAATACTCGTTGACGTACTTCCTACTGTCTTTTTTTGCGTCATTGTTTGTGGAATTGTTTGAATGCCTTCATCAATTGTTCTAGTTTTTCACTAATGCAACCAAACAATAATTTCACCGAAACATTACTGAGATTGTAATAAAATAATCTAATAATTCGGTGACTGTAATTGCATACGAATAATTATGCAATGTTCCTAATTAAGACAAATACCGTACTGAAGGAATTATCTAGGACTGATAGAGTGAGCAACGTCAATTAAGAATAGAAAGTTTAAGCGTCTAATAAATAAAAGTAGTATTATTACACTGCCTTGGCTCGAATGGTTCAAATATTTCAGAGAAATATATGGACTTCCACCACCTACGCTCTAAAAACGTCTTATGCATCGAGAGCACGTACCACCTGTTGCAATTCGAGGTGCATTCTGTTGCATCTCATCAATTCAGCTTCGAGAAAAGTAGGATAATATTTCTTTAGAGAAGATAATCGCGTATTAGATAGGAACGCTTTCATGAAGGATAAAAGATCATCCATATTTCTTTATCTTATTTCTTCAACAATTTTTTTAACTTTAAAAATTAATTTTTGTTCATCATTTTGCTTACTCCAAACAGAGAACTATTAATAGAAACCAACTTTGTAAGAGGAGAGTGATAAAGTGTCACGTACTCTACGATATTTCTTACAATGTATTCTGTATGACGTTCTGGCTAAATTAAGCCTAAGGTTGATAACAATACAGTCTCTCATAGAGGGTCTAGACAATATCGTCTAATCAATTCTGTTCCGTATTACAATTCCGAAACGTGATAAACATTCCCTGTCACGCGCATTCAGGACAGGAAATACAATCTAGTGTATTTTCGGACGTGATTAGGCTACATTCAAAGCACATGATAAATATTATACTTTACATAAGAGATGAAACTATATTGATAAAAACAGATTTACTTAATCGTAATATGTGAATTAACAAAATTGTAATCGCGCATTTAACGGGAAATTGAAGTTTGAAAACTGTTTTCCACACCGGAATTGAAATACTCGGTGAAATGATGGAAAACAATGTTCGAGATACACGTTGCAGAACGCGAAGTAACAGGTGCTCTCGTACAAACAGTTCCGCAAATTATAATTATACGGACCGTTTCTGTGTTGTTTTATCGCAACTCAATCAAACGTATACGCGAGGCATGTTGAAGGGTTTCTAGGAAGGAACCGATTTTAATTAGATCATCGAATGGCGCAGCGTCATCAGCGTGAACAACAATTAATCATTCTCTCGCCCGTACGATTCTTCGAACTTCTCGCCCGTACGCTTTATCATCGACTTACACCACTTGCGCGGCTGATTCTTCTACTTTCTTCGCAGCTCGTGCTCACAGCTTTCCGTTCGATTATATCGAGTCGCAAAGCGTTAAGTATGTGTTTAAAGGAAAAATGGTTATAACAGTAAAGAATATAAAGATGTATGACGTTCATGTTTATTATGGAAAGATGAGATCTTGACCATTTTGTACATAGCTGTAATGAGGTTCGTGATTAATGGAACACTTCGAATTCTGTCCGCATATCGTGTATCGCATCGATCTTCTAAGTTAAATTACGGAACTTGCGAACTCTTGGAATTTCTAATGCTATCTATTTAAGAACTAAGTACTTAAAAAATAATCCGTATACAGGACACGGGATTTTAATGTTCAAAATCGCTGAGCGAATTAATACTCATGAAGTATGCTTAGACATATAGTTATATAAAATTTAGATATAGATGCATGCATTACGTAGTCTTACGAAAATGTAATTTTAAAACTATTAAGGACATTGCTGTAAATGCGAGAAAAATTTCTCCAATATAAATATTAAAGGGAAATATACATGTACAGATCTGCTCGTTGACGTTATATTGCGTCATACAGGATTAATTAGAGCGGGAAACGGGAGGAACATTAATCGTAAAGTCAACAGCCTGGCTGCCGGCTCGATTTCAATCCTTACCTATGGCAGTCTTGGTGCGTACGGTGCGCGAGTATCCCATGGGATGTAGTATCGCCCAGTAACGATCCACGGACACTGCCACCAGGCAAAAAATGCTAATCGTGCAGAGGACGACCAGCACCGAGACGGTGAACAGACAGGCGTGTAGGTTTGTCGGCAAACCGATGCTGGCCAGAATAGCAAACGGTATGGCGAACAGACCCACCAGTAGATCAGCTGTGGCCAACGAAATGATGTAATAATTGGTGCGACGACGAAGTTTCCTCTCTTTGCTGAAGACAATGATCACTAGACCGTTGCCGAAAATTGCGCAAACCGACACCAGGATCTCGCAGACTGTGTACGGTAGATTTAGCTCCGAATGATTCGACGTGTTCACCGCTGTTACGGTCAGGTTATCGGCCAGCTCACTACCGTTTGATGGATATTCCATCACGATGGACGCTGTCACTCGGAACGCGATCGTCATCTACCCTCTCACGCAATGATCTTGACTATTACCACTTCGACGAATTGTTACACTTTACACTTGTTGATTAGGAACGAAATTTGATGGAAGAATTATTTTTCTAGTATCTTCATCTTGCTTCAATACCTAATTCATTTTTATTAGAGTACGTGTTAGGGTCGGTAGAATCAGTTGTTATGTACTAAATGTTATCAATGATACTTGTTAACCCTTCATTCTAGAAGGTATTACGTTAATAATTGATCGGAGCTCGCAAATGGAAAATTCAGGCCGTCGCGTGACCAACTATTCTTACAGCGTTTTTAATGGATCCCCTTAATTTCTCTATACTGAATTTCCATAATGCTGGCCGCGTCACGCGAACTTAATGCCACGTTCCTTAATAGATCCGATGTTAAGGAAACGTCATGAATCTGAAATCGCACATTAACACGGGACGAAATCAGTCATCGACATTTCCTCTGCTCTCGTTTTGTTCAAAGAAGTAGTACGAGTTCGGTTTACTGATCGTGTCACGCTCGACATGGTAACCGATCGTTCTCATTTTATCAAAAAGACACCGGCATGTGTGAAATGGCCGGAAGAAGGAAGCATCGTAGCTTATTTGTATGCCACGATGGTTAACCATATTTGTTCCACTTTCAACGCTACAAGCTTTGTCTCTGTGGCGTACGTCGAAATGTGTAGAATTCTTCGATACTTAAAATATAATGTATATGGTCTACATGTTTCGTTTAAAAGTGAGACATAATGCCAATCGTCTTATTGTTAGCTTCTACAAATATTATTTTTGCCATTATTTCACAATATTTGTTAAGAAGAAATGTTCATTATCTTCTTATCGTCAATATATTTCTATCTGAGACCATAACTGGTCAGTAGAAGTGCATTTACGATTTATTTAACGAGCTATGAATTCTAATTGCGTTTGACGGTCGAAGCGGATCTTAAAGTATTCTCAAATGACTATGTCCCCGCGAAATGCAATGGTCGCCCATTGACGAACAGCATGACCGGAAATCGTGGATAGCCAGTGATCGAATTCATTCAGCGAACGTTTCGAGTCTGACTACGTCTCACTCGCGCATTTGCGAAGCTTGTTACGGACGACGAATTTCCGGCACATATTCATCGAAAGATGATTCCATCTTTTCGCGATAGACGTTCCTCTGACTACGTTCCCAGAGACATTTGGATGACGACGTGATCTACCATCGTAAATCCCGAAAGCGTCGGGTAGCACCTGTCATCGATTTTTCAATTATCTCCATTTTCTTCCGCAACGGCACCGAGGAGTTTCGCTCTCACTTAGTTCGAAATCACGTGGAAAAGATGGATGATTATGCCAATCGATTAGGCTCTGCTTTTTTCTTCGTAGTTAATCGAGTATAAACATATTTTATAGAACAGATTCACCTCTCCCATTGATATATCTTAGGTGGGTCACAGATTTTCTGTCAACTGAGATGTTTATTTATGAAAGACCAATTTACAGTGGAGAGATTGTCAGCACTGTTTCTTTTGATCCTTGGTACGACATTTTTATTCAACGCGCATTAAAATTTATAGCCCTTTGAACGAGTGTTATAAAGAATTCCCTTCGTGGAAACACTTTCCTGTTCCTTAGCATTCGAGACAACGCAATATGGCTTTTGTCCTCTTTATTGGCCCCTTCGAACGTAATTAAAAAACTGTTCGATGAGGGAAACAGATTAAACTTTTCATCTGACGTCTTTCCAGCAAACGTGAGGCCCGTTATCTTCGGGGATGTTGAACGTTAATGAAAGAAGGATCAGAAAGTTGATCGTTCCTATCGTGGTCTGCTTCACGGCGCAATTCTAAAGTTGCGGTCGTTTCTGCGAAACAACTCGCTGCAGCTGACGGAGAACATTGTCCGCGATTCAAACTTATCAAACTTTCAGTCGAGGAAATTCCTGTGATTATTTAGAACTACAACATGTGGTAGATCATCATACGCAAATTTTGTAACCAATCTCGAATTCTTTGTATTTCTGGTTTCATTGTTCAAACAGAAGACGAGTTGAAGATGAGATCGAATAAAGTCAGAATTAAATAAAAGTCATCGTAAATAGTGTTAGACGCGATCGTATTTTAATATCATCATGCAGACCGACACTCTATTCTAAGCTTTTACGTCTATCTTTATTTATAGAGGCTTAGTATATCACTTCCCGAACATCATTATAACGATAGTATTTAAGCTAATACCCTTGACATACTTTTCCCCGAATCTAAAACACCTCTTTCTCTTCCATTTCCACGAAAGAGTTACTACGTATGTGTCAGTTGTATCTGAACAAGAATGACATTTCACATGCAATTTACATTCACAATTTCATATTTCTTTAATTTCTCCGAAGCGATGAAATCATTCACTTTTAATTTAAAATTGAATACTCGAAGAAATACCAATCATTGAATCGGGGATCTTTACTGAGACCATCAACGTCAATCAACGACACTGCGCGCTTGTTTTCTTGTTAATCACAAATTAATCGGCGTGATGTTTCAAACTTTTTGTCTTTCCGAAAAACCCGGATTAATTAAGAATTAAAATTGATCGGGCGTGAACGGTTTCCGTACAGAGAACACGTCCGCCTTCTCAACCCCGTGGCGCGTAACTGAGTTCCTCTTTGTGACACGCGGGTACACGACGATGGTGGAGGTGGAATGAACGCGTTTATAGATTATGGCGGTAGTGGTAGACTACTGAAGAAGATCGACAATGTCCCGAGTCCTGCGTAAACGTTCCCGTGTTCCATTGCATTGAATTTCGGCAGCTTCTAAACAAATCACACCGGAAGGGTAAATCGCAGTGATCTTTAAAAGTTATAATTATTCGAAGATATAAACAGATTAGTGCGTCAGTCATCAAGTATTTGTTGCTGTAGTATTTGTGCAACTCAATGGTAAAGCTTTCCATCAGAATTTATGTACATTTTTATTCGTTTGCGTGTTGGACTTGAGTTTTCAAGAGTCCCTCAATCTATAATAACTTTAAACATACATCTTAGTTATTACATCACAGCACACTCTTTCAATCTTACTAAAAGGGTTACGAAGATTAGAGTTTGAATTAAAAATTTGTCCAAACTCACAGCAATATTCACTATGAAATTAGTAATTGAATAAGTCAATGGTTACAGTTGACAGAAGTTGGGTGAATACACGCGTGTGGAAGAGTTAAACGTAAGACCTGTTCGTTGCATAAGGAAATATTAAATTTAGCTTCCGTCCGTTGAAATTAAGAAATGTATGCTCCGGTACGCTGGGACTCTTTGTGACGATCTACGAATTTCTCGAATTCGGAGAACCTTATTTTTCATTTACCGATTCGTAATAGGACCAAGTATTTTATTTTCAAGTAACATAATTCTTTTAAAAAAGTATCTGTTTTAGTGAATCTCCATTATGGCAAGAACATTGAAATAAATAACTCCCACGACATTCGTCTAGTTACAAACTTAAACTTGTCTCGCTTGATTAGATTGAACGAGCCACGAAGTCTAATTTTGTGCACTCGTCCTAACTGATTAATATCTTTGTCGCAATTTTCGACGTGAGAAATAGGAAAGGGAAACCGGTCCATCTAATTAACGACGCAGCCTGTGCGTACGTTTAGCGTTGATCACGAGAATAGAAAATTCTAGTTTTTCGACATCGTTATTTATATCAAAATCGGGCACTATGCGTAATATGAAAATTTAACGAGCTCCTGTGATGTTAAATCGCTTGAGGGGTAACAATACTATAACTCCCTACATTTTAAGGTACTTCAAATATCTTACAACAGTTTCTAAGTAGAATATAATAATAACAAAGCTAAAGATGTCACGTGCGGTATTTGCATATTAGCTTTAAGGTCGTATGAGCCGTAAGATCTCTGTCAAAAGTTGAAGACATGTAATAAAAAGCTGTGTCCAACATTTGAAGCAATCATCATTTAGAAAAAATGATAATTACATT